ATAGTTAACAAAAATCTTGTTAATCCTTAACTATATTTAACTCCGTAAAATAGACTTCCAGAAGCATCAGGTTTATAAAGATGCTTGAAATGCTTAGCTGAGATAGGTCACACCTGCATAACAGCAATGCTGCTAATGAATTCTCAAAGGGATTTCAAGTTAAGGCTACAGAAGTAAATGGTAAAACAATAAAGGTGGAATCCAAGAAGACACAGTCAGTGGCAATTCAAACTGACATATACTGTATAAACCTCTGCATTTATTATCAACAATAATTGCTCAAAGTACCAATTTTGTCAGAAAATTGTGAGTTGTGGCTCTAAAATCAACTGACTGATTTTTAAACTGTAAAATATCATAATGAGCAAATTCTTGGACTATGGAAAGAAACACCCACAGTGACCAGATCAATTTAAACAACTTTACCTCTGCTAATCTTGTCCGAAGCTGACCTGGTTGTTTCTTTGCAAATAATCTGATGACCTCAGGGGTTTTAAAGGCCTGGCTGATAGCTGCCTGAATAGCCTAGAAACATAAGAAGGCAAAAACTAAGCAAAACATTCCAACAAAACAGATATTGCAATAATTGACTGATGGGTCTGTCTTTAATTATTAACAAAGTCTTTGTTCATCAAACACTGTTACCGTTTCAGTTTTCACTTGCTATTTCTGTGCATGTCACTGAAGCCAAATATATAACTAAGTAAAGATCTGGAAGGATATGCTTTTTTATGCATAAGTAGACATTCATCTAGAACTTACACCCAAAAAGGGGTACATTTTCAATCTGAAGTGTACTTACAAAAGAAAGAACCAAACTCTGTCACTGATATAAGTAAATTATGCTTACCAGCTGCATTCCACTTAGTTCATCTACCAAAGTCATATTTCCAGACATAATTTTCTTCAGGGAATCATTAAATTCACTCAGTTGCTCCAGAGTTTCCTTTTTGGTTTCTTCATATTCATCTGTATCAAGTTCCTCTCTGAAGGACAGTGAACAACATAATACAGAAAAATACAGAGTTCCAAGTGAAAAAAAAGCAATCTTGGTACTTGTACACTAGAAAAAAAAACTGAAGGGAAATATCAAAATGCTAATGATGGATGTGTTCAGATAGTAGTTGTATGGGCATTTTCCTGCAATATGGTTATTTCGACAAGTAACATTTTTCTTTACCAAAATGAAGCATGCTTAACGAACCACCTAATAACTTCCCTTTAAACAGTCAATGCTATAACATTGGGTAAGATACTGAACATAGCCAAGCTTCAGTCTCTTTAACTACAAAGCTTCAGATAATGATAGTACCTACCTAATAGGGTTGCTATGAGCATTAAATGAGACATAGAAAGTGCTTGGCATATAACAGGTACTTGATAAGTAGCTGTTGTTATCATCATCAGCGTCATCATCAACGGTAGGAAAAATTTTGTGTATCTTGCAATACAACAGCAAGGCAGTACTTGTCATCTAAGGGGTTATTTTTATTCACCAAACAAGCCACTTATTAAACACTTACTATGAATAACAGCTACCACTTTTACTGAGCACCTACTCTGGGCCAAGCACTGGGTCTGCCCCTTCATCTGTAACATTTACAACAACTTTGCAAGGTTGTTAAAAACTGCAATGAACAGTCTCAGTCTTTTGAGAAGTTAAGGCTGAAACCATACACCAGAAGTTCAAACAGTACCTTCTCAGCCTGATACCAGGCAGGGTGATTTTAAACACTAAAGACAAGGCAGTTGTCATTATTTCTACTTCAAGGAGGTTAATTAAGTATTTTGTCCAAGTTCACGTGCACTTAGTAATTAATTGAGACTTTCACATTCTAGTCTTTATGACTCCAAAGCCTTCACTGAGTTTACTCCTCCAACACACAAAGCACTGTGAAGAACACTACAGAGGAAACCCAAATCACACATGGGCCTACATCCATGGAGCTTGTAATCTAGCTGCAGAAAAAAGCCATTTTACAGCAAAACAACACTCAATGATACAATTACCTGCATTCTTCCAGATCTTGTAATTGCTGCATTAGTCTATCCAACTGTTCTTCTAAATTCTGCTTTAATTTGCTTGTCTCTGTCTTTCCTCTGGAAGCCATTTTAATCTCTATGTAGAACAATAAACCCACATATGGTATATTTGGTTATTTGAAGAGATTCAACATACCAGTGTAATTTAAAATAGGCAATACTGACTCAGATACAGATCTGAGAAAGATAGTTCTGCAAAGAGAATCTCAATTCAGAAACACAGTTTAAACTCATATAGTAATAACATTCCACAGTAATGTCTGACAGTCTTCTTAATCGACCTGACAAGTTAATTAGAAGTCTTCACTCTTGGTCTATCTCCCTTTAAACAAATTTGATAGAAGAAAATACAGATTTAAAAAGAAATAGAAGGCTGGCCAGTTAGCACAGTTGGTTAGAGCAGGCTGCTGATAACACCAAGGTCTGGGGTTCAATCCCTGTACCACCCAGCCAAGAGGAAAAAAAAGGAAAGAAATAGATTAGATGTGACTGCTTTATAAAAAGATTCATTATAGCATTCTTTTTCATATATATAAGTACACCCCAAGACTCAGAACACTCCTGGTATTATCTTATTGGCTTTATGTACATTTACCTAATGACATGTGAGCACTAACATCTTTTTATTTATTTATTTTTTTCAAAAAGATGACCGATAAGGGGATCTAAACCCTTGACTTGGTGTTGTCAGCACCACGCTCTCCCAAGTGAGCTAACTGGCCATCCCTTTATAGGGATCTGAACCCACAGCCTTGGTGTTATCAGCACCGCACTCTCCTGAGTGAGCCACAGGCCAGCCCGAGCACTAACATCTTTTGATATGAATTTCCTCTTTGGAAATGTGCCCATTTTCTACTGGATTATCTTTTTTTGTTTAATTTTTATTTATTTTTTGGATTATCTTTTCTTTTACGGATTTATATAACATGAATATGAAGCCTTTGTAATTACAGTTGACCTTTGAACATATGGATTGACATTAAATTTTATCTATAGTGTTTTTTGTCATGACAAATTATTTATTTATTTATTTATTTATTTTTTAAAGATGACCGGTAAGAGGATCTCAACCCTTGGCTTGGTGTTGTCAGCACCACACTCAGCCAGTGAGCAAACCGGCCATCCCTATATAGGATCCGAACCCATGGCCTTGGTGTTATCAGCACCGCACTCTACCGAGTCATGGCCGGCCCCATGACAAATTATTTTTTAATGAACAAATATCTCCTTTAAGTCTTCTTAGTTTTGTGTCCCACAAAGGCAGGCCCTAAGTATCTCAAAATTTATAAAAATACATGTCTTTGTAGTCTAAGACTTTTTTTTTTTTTTCCTTTTTGTCTTTTTTCATGACCAGCAACGGATCGCAACCCTCAGTCGCAACTCTCAGTGTCGCGCCCGTACCGGACCGGGACCGGCCACGGGATCGCAACCCTCGGTGTTGCTCCCGCCCCCCGCTCAGCCAGTGAGCGGCCGGTCTGCATGTGGGATCCGAACCCTCGGCGGGAGCGCCACCGCACTTCCCAAGCGGCGCACTATAGCAGTGCGCCACTGGGCCGGCCCCTGTAGTCTAAGACTTTCATAAATTCTTTTTTTTTTTTTTGGCAGCTGGCTGGTATGGGGAGCCGAACCATCACCTTGGTGTTATATGACTGTGCTCTAACCATCCAAGTTAACCCGCTAGCCCTAAATTATTTTTTCTACCTGTAGAAAAAAGTCCCTTGCAGCTTTTTGTCCTTATGCTATGAAGTACAGGCCTAACTTTAATTTTCTTTCAAATGTATAGCCAATTGCCCCAACCCCCACTACTAGTCAGTCTTTTATTCATTGATCCAATATGCTACCTTTATTAAGTAAATTCCCAGACTCAGCCTCAAGTCTGTTTCATTGATAATTTTCTGGTCCTAAGGAATTACCTTGCTATTTAGATTATTACAACTTTTTTTGCTGGAATATTTTGATAACTGATAAGGACTTGCCTTTTTTTTTTTTTTTTTTTTATTTTAAAAGATGACCAGTAAGGGGATTTTAACCC